CTTGAATTAAAAGGTTAACACACATTAATGATTGCTGAGTACATACACCCACAAGTGAATTATTATTATGTATTATTATTATAATTTAATTCTGGCAGTCTCAACAATGACGGCAACAACAACGGCGAGTAAAACGGAAGTCAACAGAAACAGTATTTTACATTTTAAAATTTATACGTAGCAATAACTGATCAATACTATCACTGGGTGACAAAACAACTACAAATAAATAACAAAAAGGCACAAAACCGTGACTGGAACGATACACAAATAACCCGCACATAAAAGACAGAAGCTTACGACGACGTTTCGGTCCGACTTGGACCATTGACAAAGTCAATGTATACGTTAGTGTGACTTTGTCAATGGTCCAAGTCGGACCGAAACGTCGTCGTAAGCTTCTGTCTTTTATGTGCGGGTTATTTGTGTAACAACTACAAAGGCTGAGAGAGAGAGAGAGAGAGAGAGAGGGGGGGGGGAGGAGGACAAGATCACACATGGCTACTCCACACAGCCTTAAACAACCCCAAGATTAAATGCCAGAGTATCCCAGGATAAAATCTAAAAGTCCTGTGCCCTCCTACCCCCTCCCCCCCCCCCAAAAAAAAAAGTTACCTCGAGGCCCTGAGAGATGGTTCTACAATTTTTCAAATCCAAATGAAAAAAAAAGGATCAAATCCCTGAAAACAGGACAACACAGAGTGTTGCACAATCAGCAGCAGAGTGCAGGCTGCACTGAGGGCAGCAGGATCCACCCGATGAAGTGAGGGTGACCAGTGTACTCTTTATTACACAGATCGTCTTGTAGTGACAGTTCTTGCGAAATTAGAAGGGCTAAAGCACTCCCACTGTTTGCCGCTTGCCTGTAGGGCCCACCAGGTCGCCACCTCACAAGGACATACCATATATGCGCCTCGAGTCACTGTAGTACCGTGTACGGTGGCTATTGGGATCAGCCTTCGCCACAACTACCTCCCTCGTTCGATTCCAACTTCGTAGACGACTCCAAATTACACAGACACGCACGCGCACCACGACGATTATTTTGACAGAAACAAATTCTTGACAGGAGCTGTGATGTGACACACACACACTCCCTGGTGTAATTACCACCAATGAGAGAGACTGAAGGTGCAGCGCCTGGAGGCTACACTTACACTAACACTTGTACATATATTAACATTACCGTCACTACACGTGTACACACGTTCACATTACCGTCAGTGGCCAATATGAATAACCTAACAGATGTTCTTACATTCAGTAAACACATGCATCTGATATCATAACACGTCGGAAATCTGGCAAACTCCATAAATGTATGCCAGATCTCCGACATTACCCTAACTCCGATAGATTTCGAAAAAGCCATTGACAACATGCCTATGCACTCAGACCCGGGCCCAGACTCGTGGAACTCTGTTTTCATTAAGAACTGCAAGAAACCCCTCTCGCGTGCCCTAAGTACACTATGGAGGAGGAGCTTGAACATGGGTGAAATTTCACAGTCACTTAAAACAACGGATATAGCCCCACTCCATAAAGGTGGCAGCAAAGCATTAGCTAAGAACTATAGACCAATAGCTCTGACGTCCCACATCATAAAAATCTTTGAAAGAGTGCTAAGAAGCAGGATTGCAAATCACCTGGATTCCCAAAATCTGCACAATCCAGGGCAACATGGGTTCAGGGCAGGTCGCTCCTGCCTCTCACAACTACTGGATCACTATGACATGGCCTTGGATGCACTGGAAGAAAATCAGAATGCAGATGTAATATACACAGACTTTGCAAAAGCATTTGACAAATGCGATCATGGCATAATAGCCCATAAAATACGTGCTAAAGGAATAACTGGGAAAGTGGGGAGATGGATCTTCAACTTCCTAACAAATCGAACACAAAGAGTAGTGGTCAACAGAGTTAAATCGGAGGCTGCCATAGTGAAGAGCTCTGTTCCATAAGGCACAGTACTCGCCCCCATCTTATTCCTTATCCTTATATCAGACATAAACAGAGATATACACCACAGCACCGTATCATCCTTTGCGGATGATACTAGGATCTGCATGAGGCTGTCATCTGCTGAGGACGCGGTTAACCTCCAAGAAGATATAAACAAAGTTTTCCAGTGGGCAACGGTAAACAATATGATGTTCAATGAGGACAAATTCCAACTACTCCGTTATGGAAACCTGGAGGAGATAATAACTAGAACAGAGTATACTACTGACTCCAGCCATACAATAGAGCGGAAAACTAATGTAAGGGACCTGGGAGTAGTAATGTCTGAGGATCTCACTTTCAAGGATCACAACAGTGCCACGATCGCACGTGCAAAGAAAATGATAGGATGGATAATGAGAACTTTCAAAAGAGAGATGCCAAGCCCATGATGATCCTTTTCAAATCACTTGTTCTCTCTAGGCTGGAATACTGCGGTACATTAGCATCTCCATTCAAAGCAGGTGAAATCGCAGATCTAGAGAGTGTACAGAGATCCTTTACTGCACGTATAAGTTCTGTCAAGCACCTTAACTACTGGGAACGCTTGGAAGCACTTGACTTGTACTCGTTGGAATGCAGGAGGGAGAGATATATCATAATCTACACTTGGAAAATCTTGGAAGGAATGGTCCCAAATCTGCACACAGAAATCACTCCCTACGAAAGTAAAAGACTGGGCAGGCGATGCAAATGCCCCCAATAAAAAGTAGGGGCGCCATTGGTACACTAAGAGAAAACACCATAAGTGTCCGGGGCCCAAAACTGTTCAACAGCCTCCCATCAAGCATTAGGGGAATTGCCAATAAACCCCTGGCTGCCTTCAAGAGAGAGCTGGACAGATACCTAAAGTCAGTGCCGGATCAGCCGGGCTGTGGCTCGTACGTTGGACTGCGTGCGGCCAGCAGTAACAGCCTAGTTGATCAGGCCCTGATCCATCGGGAGGCCTGGTCATGGACCGGGCCGCAGGGGCGTTGATCCCCGGAATAACCTCCAGGTAACCTCCAGGTAACGTGTTTACACACACTAGACTTGAACCATAATTGAACTTGACTACACACTCAGCACAGTTCTCTTACCAAAGGAACATGTCATTGCTCACCTGTGCGATTAGTTATGTTCATTAGAAGCGATAAATCAGTAAGGGCAATACAGCGCCTAGGGAATGGGAGATAGTCAAGTCTGATCCGAGGAAGGGGAGGATAGATATCGCCAATTCTCCGGATCAAAAGTAATGCACCAGAGCTTCACTTGGAGTATAAAATTATTTGTAATTACCAGTTTGAGTTTAGGGGGTCGAACACTAGCTCCTGGGCTCGCATCATAGCTTATATCTAACATGAATTTACTCAGAGCACAGAAGAGTTGGTAGAAGCAGAAGAGATGTGAAGACGATGTAATCAGTCCATCACCCTTGAAGACGTAGTTTTGAGGTGGTCAGTCCCTCAGCCTGGAGAAGAGTATTTGTTCCATAGTCTGAAACAATGTGAAGTTGAAGTAACAGTATAGCGTCTTATATACTGTCAGGAGGAGAGATATAGACAACTAGTAGAAGCAAGAATGTGATCATTGAGAGGTCACCTCCATCTCAAATCCAACCATTCTCACTTATAGAAGTTGTCTAAAGTGTTTCCTGTGCTGTACCAAGATACCATTGTGGACTGATTATATCGTCTTCACATCTCTTCTGCTTCTACCAACTTTTCTGTACTCGACTGAAGGCCTAATAAATCAACACAGTGTTGACGGTGTTGACACGTGACACACAGTTGTACTGCGACACTAAATGGCTCACCTTTAGCCAAACCGTGTATCCTGAACAAGTAAATGGCTTCTGCCAGCGTTAGCAACTAAAAATGGATAAGTTATATATAAAAAAATGCTGCCAGGAATCATAAGTTCCTGAAGGTGAGGAATTTTTGTGGGGGCTACGTGGAAGGAATTTTTGTGGGGGCAACGGTGGGGGGAATTTTTTTGTGGGGCTACGTGGGAGGAATTTTTGTGGGGGCTACGTGGGAGGAATTTTTGGGGGGGCTACGGGGAAAAAGGAATTTTTGGGGGGGCTACGTGGGGGGAATTTTTGTGGGGCTACGTGGGGGGAAATTTTTTTGTGGGGGCTACGTGGGAGGAATTTTTGGGGGGGCTACGTGGGGGGAATTTTTGGGGGGGCTACGGGGAAGGAATTTTTGGGGGGGCTACGTGGGAGGAATTTTTGTGGGGGCTACGTGGGAGGAATTTTGTGGGGGCTACGTGGAAGGAATTTTTGGGGGGTTTAACGGGGGAGGAATTTTTGTGGGGGCTACGTGGGAGGAATTTTTGTGGGGGCTACGTGGAAGGAATTTTTGTGGGGGCTACGGGGGAGGAATTTTTGTGGGGGCTACGTGGAAGGAATTTTTGTGGGGGCTACGTGGAAGGAATTTTTGGGGGGGCTACGTGGGAGGAATTTTTGGGGGGGCTACGTGGAAGGAATTTTTGTGGGGGCTAACGTGGAAGGAAAATTTTGTGGGGCTACGTGGGGGGAAAATTTTTGGGGGGGCTACGTGGGAGGAATTTTGTGGGGGCTACGGGGGAGGAATTTTTGTGGGGGCTACGTGGGAGGAATTTTTGTGGGGGCTACGTGGGAGGAATTTTTGTGGGGGCTACGTGGGAGGTTTTTTTGGGTGGGGGCTACGTGGGAGGAATTTTTGGGGGGGCTACGTGGAGGAATTTTTGTGGGGGCTACGTGGGAGGAATTTTTTGTGGGGGCTACTGGGAGGAATTTTGTGGGGGCTACGTGGGAGGAATTTTTGGGGGGGCTACGTGGGAGGAATTTTTGTGGGGCTACGTGGGAGGAATTTTTGTGGGGCTACGTGGGGGAATTTTTTGTGGGGGCTACGTGGGAGGAATTTTTGTGGGGTTTCGTGGGAGGAATTTTTGTGGGGCTACGTGGGAGGAATTTTTGTGGGGGCTACGTGGGGGGAATTTTGGGGGGGCTACGTGGGAGGAATTTTTTGTGG